CACTATTCTCTTTAGCATCTCTTTCTCATGTGTTTTCCTGTTTGTTTAAATCATTCATTTATCTTGGAGCTGCTTTTCTAGTAAGAAATAAAAATGAAGGACTAATTCCTGCATTTACAAAGGAATCAGAACCACACAGCTTCTTCCATCTCTAAATCTGATGACTAACCTATTTGAAAAAGAAACATGGTAAAAGGTTTTTTTTCCTCCGCAGGTAAAATTATCCGGAGATAAAAGATAAGGTTAACTTAATTATTTGCTATGCGCTATTAAAAAGAATAATTGGAATTCAGAAATTCATCAGCCCTTTAAAACTTCAGGTGAATCACCAAGGTTCTGATTTTCTGAGACTGCTTCTATACCACAATACTACTATAAATCTTTCAAATTTTATTTAAATTTAATTTATCAAGAGACCCTATATCTTTTCTGCAGGAAGATCTGAATGCATTGAGGTGACACAACATTTACATAGAAAGAATTGAGCCATAATTTTATTTTATTTTGTTTGTTTATTTTTTTTGTGAGGAAGATCAGCCCTGAGCTAACATCTGTCAATCCTCCTCTTTTTGCTGAGAAAGACTGGCCCTGGGGTAACATCCATGCCCATCTTCCTCCGCTCTATATGGGACGCCTGCCACAGCATGGCCTGACAAGCAGTGTGTTTGTGCGCGCCCGGGATCCGAACTGGCGAACCCTGGGCTGCCGCAGTGGAGCGCCTGCACTTAACCGCTTGCGCCACTGGGCCAGCCCCGAGCCATAGTTTTAAAAAAGTATTGGATTACATGCTAAAATATATATAGGATTTAGAGAATGGAGAGATCAATATAGATTAGAGTTATCAGCAAGGTTTTATAGAGGAGGTAAGATTTGAGATATGTCATAGGAAACAGATTTTGAACTCAGTCCTAAAATGAAAGAAAGAGGAGTGCCAACATGGATGTGAGAAGATGAAAGATGGGGGTATACTAATGTGTTAAAATAACCCTACATATATTTGATTGATGAAACAAGGACTTATGGAGGCCATTGAAAATGAAAATTCAAGAACATCTGGATCAAGGTAGCTGTTCTGGATGAGAGTGGTTGCATTTTTTTTTTTTTTCCTGAGGAAGATTCGCCCGAGCTAACATCTGTGCCAGTCTTCTTCTATTTTGCATGTGGGTTGCCACCACAGCATGGCTGCCAATGAGTGGTGTAGGTCTGTGCCCAGGAACTGAACCCCGGCCACTGAGGTGGAATGTGCTGAACTTAACCACTAGGCCACGCAGCTGGCCCCAGAGTGGCTGCATTTTTTAATGGCTGTTCTGGTAGAAATGACAACATGGATACTCATGGACCCTTTTTCTTAGACTCTGTTTATATAGCTAGTATGGAAAAACCTGTCTTTCCTATAAAAATTTTCCTGGGGTCATGGTTTTCATTTATGTCTCTGCTGCTCCACTGTTCCTCTCATGCACAGCATGTGTGTTGTCATTTGCACTGGAGGGTGGAGGGGAATTAGGAGCCCTGGCTTCTAGCTCTGCTCAGTCACAGCTTGTACTGTGATTTGGGGTAAGACGCTCCATTATTCTAGGCCTCATTTACATCAACTGTCAAACAGGATGGTTGAATTAGATAATTTCCCTGGTTTCGTTTGGTGCCAATATTTTATAATTCATGATTCCAAGTGAAAATACACTTGTTAATAAGGTCATTTTGCTTGTTTTTATTAGAAAGGGTGGCGATAACTGCATATTTGCAATTTACTTAGTCATCCATAGCATACATAATCATCCGTAAAATCCGTCAACACCTTGGACTTGAAACATTGTGATTTTGGTAAAAATGCATCCATGTACCCTGTGGTTATTCTGCAATTTGGTGGATCCTACCCCCTTCAGAATTCCAAAGCGTCAGATGCTTCCTGATGTCCAGTTGGACGTTGGTGTCCTTGTACAGCATATTTCAAAATCAACCTTTACTGTAGCTGTTTTTACAAGAAAGATGATCTTCCAGCAATGATAAAAATACACCGCTTTCTCTCCTCTGTATTCAACCAGAGTCTAGAATCTGATAAAAGTGCTTATCACAGGTCCTTCAGATGCCCCACATTTGTTAGCCTCTGCAATGTTTACTTTACCTCTGGTGCTGCTGAAGAGACTGTGCTGGATCCTGTTCTGTGTTCTTGGAGGAAAAGAGGGAGCTCACAGTCTGTGATTCGTGAGCAAAGACAGACGAGCTGAAGGGCTGCCGCTCAAGCTGTCTCTGTTGTCCCCTCATTGTCTCTTCCGATTATACTTGCACTTTGAAGGACATTTGCCAGATCCAGGCTCCTTGGACCCCTGTTACTTGTATGTCTTTTCTCACCTTTGACATGATCTGGACTGGTGTTTTCATTTGTTAAAAACAACAAGAACATTCACTGGGAAGCTTGCACTGGAATTGTTTCAGGTCATCATAGCTATTTATTCTCTGTCATAAACTGTAATTCTCTATTTCCCTCGCTCCCACGTCAGGGGAGTTGGTGGTTTACGGTGGACAGTCAGTGGAATTTGAGTGAACTGTGAAAGATTTCCGAGAACTACCGAGAGATTATGTAGCAGGTGTAGTACTAAGAACAAAACATAAAATATTCTTGTTCTCAATCACAGTTTGGCAGCACAACAAGAAACAGGCTTACAAAACAGCATAAAGGATTTAAAAGTTGTGGTTATACCTGAGAAAGCATTTTCTCTGAGGGAAGAAAGCAAATCATGGGATTGGCTTAATAAGGGATTTCCTTTATATGACTAAAAATAATAGCCTAGAGTCTGTCTAATTAGTCTCCATCTGGGGTAGGTAAAGAAGCTAAGGATTTTTTGCAGACTTCTGTTTAATAGGAGCCTGAAATGCAGGTGCTGGTGCTGTCATAAAGGCCTGGATGACCTAGAGAGACCTGAAGTGCAAGACATATAGAACTGTAGACAAAAAGATTTGGGAAACAGAATGGGAACACCAGAAATGCCCCCAAATACTCAAATAGGAAGGAAAATACAAACGCAAGGCAACTGCTGAAAGGTGTTTGATTCTGGGTGTTTGTATTCTGTGTTGATATGATTGTAAACTAATTTTGCTAATAGCTAAGTAGTGGTATAATCAGGGATGTTAGTGGAACTATTCCAGGCCTTGATAAATCCCAGAAATCATGATAATTAAATTGGCTTCATTCTCAAGATGCCACTGATCTGACATTCTTATTGAGAGTGTCACAGCAGTGCCTTCAAAGCAGGGCTTCTAGTGGAGGTACCACAAATGTGAAAACCAGAGAAGCGGTCAACCATGAGCACAACCGTGAAGCTGAGAATGGGTGTCAGCAGCTTCCCAGCTGGAGGAATGTGGGTGAGATCATATGGGTTTTTCTTCTATAGAAACAGTTGTCTTAAGACAAGAAAAGTTTCACATTTTCCCTGAAAACAAATTCAACAAGCACTTCCTATACCTGGGGGCTTTAAGTATCAAGGGGAAATGTATAGTCTCTATTCTAAGCTCCAAGCACATTCCTGGTTCAGCAGCACTCACGAGGAAGGGGTCTTTGATCAAAAAGATGTAGAAGCCTCAGTTGTGAGGCACCCAGAGATCTGGGCTAGGAGCTCCTGGATTTAAGCCATACTTTGAATCCACATCCAAATGTAGAACATGCCCTCAATTTGTAATAAGAATAATATTATAGCTCAGGTAGGAGTCACTTTTCTTAGGATATTATGATTCCTACTAGTAGTTTTCCTGAATATATTGTGTGTTTATAGTCAGAGAGGATCAGGAGACTTCACATGTTGGAAAAAATGGCGGAGAGCTACTTTCTATTGAATGTGGAGCAAGTGGCCAAGCTCTCCTTTCTCTCCATCCTCACTCTCACTCCTCGTATTTTTCTTTGGGCTAAGCTTCTTTGGGGAGAGCTATTGGAAGTTTAAGTCCAGTTCATCAAGCCTAGCGTTTGACTGTAAATCTCCAAGCACTGCACAGGCTCTGCAGTGGCTTGGGGCTCCGGGTGATAGCTTGATGGTGGTGGTAGCACAGCTGGTCTTCCACTCAGCTGCACACATCCATCATCCCTGCCTGGGCTGAGTGGGGGCGCCAGGACAGGAGCACACTGCTGTCTGCCATGGGCAGGCTGGACGATCAGCTTGCCAAGGTGCATTTGGGGGGACTCAGAGAAAACCAAGGACAGATCTTGACAGGTGAAAACTTAGGGTCATGATTCTTCAAAGTTTCCTAAGGCCCTAGAACTCAATTTTTGGGTGAAACTGTTTCAGAGATCTTTCAGTACTATTTCCTATTCTTGAGTTCTCATCGGGTGAGTCCCAGGCCAATGTTAGCTTGGGTTTATGGTGTTGGAGCACTAGCCCTGATCTAGGCCAAGGCCCCTGAAGCCTGCCTTAGCAATGGCATGGAGCCTTGAGCAAATGCAGTTAGGAATTACTTGCTGTTTCTAGGAGAAGGCATGGTAAAACAGAAATCCCTCTAATCACTTTGAACATAGTTTTTCCTCTTTAACTCTGCATTTGTGTTCATGTGGGTATGTTGAGGAGAAGGAATCAGGGGATGGTTGGTCTCCTTGGTTATGAAACTATATGAATGAGCATAATATTGTCTAAGACAAATAGAGTCCAAAGCAATCTGTTCTTCTTCCTCCATCTCTAGAGAAGTCCAGAAAACAGGGGCAGGAGTACGATTTCTTTTAGCCTTCTTTGACAAAACAGGCTTCAAGGAGCATGCAAGAAATGTCCCTCTGACAGTTCATGTCTGGTCCCAGATTTAGAAGCAACAACTAAGCATCAGAATTGCTGGACGTTCCTGGCATGTGAACTTGAGAACACCAGTGCCCACGTTTGTACATTGAAAGTGGCATCTGGCTATAACATTTTGATAAGGATGTGAGCGAATGAAACAATATCTCACTGTAGATATACAGTCAAGAAGTATTAACTAGAACCCCCAAAATGACTTGAGCCCCTCACCATCATCTTCCTCTATTCCAGATGATCAGCTGAACTCAGAGGAAAAGAAGAAGAGAAAGCAGCGGAGGAACAGGACAACCTTCAACAGCAGCCAGCTGCAGGCTTTGGAGCGTGTCTTTGAGCGTACACACTACCCAGATGCTTTTGTGCGAGAAGACCTGGCGCGCCGAGTGAACCTCACCGAGGCCAGAGTGCAGGTAACCAAAGTCTTCGCCTCCTCAGAGGCACATCTCGGAAGACTGTTTAAAAACGCAAGGTATAGGTTTCAGACTGGAGCTGGGACTAATAAGGTTATAAATGGTTAGCATGAGGACAGAGTCAGTTTCTCACTGTGTACCTTTGGGCAGCATGGTATTTATAAAAGTCAAATTGAATGCCTTTAGGTGGGGTGGAGTATGCCTTCCTACAGGTCTCATTCCTCCTCATTGTTTCCCACTCTTCCAGATTCATGTTATAAACACTGTCCATCTGAGCGTTTGACTCCACACTTCTCAGCTTTTGATCTGAGCTTTAGCGGGGCCAAAGAGATGAACTCTGTCCTCCATCTCAGTTTTCCTCCCCAGACTTTGGGAATGTACAAACCTTCAAGAACGTATTATAAATACACACAATTATGGATACTGGTAGGAGTGGGAAACGAACACATTAAAGACCTTGCACTTAGGACCTGCGTTAAGAGCACATTCAAGTAGATGAATCTGTGTTTCTGTGAAGTGAAGGAAGATAAGGGCATGTTAGATAGGGTAGAGAGAGAACAGTGATTCTTTCTAACATTAATGCCATGACACATCAGCTACAAGCCAGACATCTAGAAATAACACAGTCTGTGATTAGTAATCATAATGATGATAATAATAACTAAACACTCCCTGAGCCCTGGTAGGCCAAGCAGTGTTCTAAGTTCTTTACATAAACTAATCTGTTTAATCCTCACACCAATTCAATGAGTTGGATAGTATTCTTCATCTCGCAGATGAGGAAACTGAGGCACAGAGAGGTTAAAGTGTTTTACCCAATGTGACACAGCTAGGAAGTGGCTGAACTAGGATTTGAACACAGATGCGCAGATCCAGAGTTCATGCTTTTAAGCTCCACAGTAGACTTTGAATCAACGAGAGTCTCCTGACTAAACACTTTTTCATGTAGTGCTTTGCTCTCTCTGCTGAGAGTCAAGATCTTATTGTCTTCCATATTGCCACAGGTAGGCTGCTGTTTTACTAATAGTAAGGGGGGTGGGCCAAATCTGTCGTGTCTTCCTGAGGAAATTATTGTTTGTATGTCTGTGTTCAGTCTTGGCTTGAGGGATTTCTTTATGCAAATGATAAGCCTCTTGACCAATGGAGACTGAGGTAGACTCCAAGGGCCTTGAGGGTAGGATCTGTGTCTATGCCATGAGGCACTGAATACTGTGAGAGACATTTGTTGGGTTGAGGGAGAGAGTCCTGGAGCTCCCTTCAGCCTGAAGAGTAAGTGTGCTAGAGTTTTCGCCATGGGAAACAGGCACCTTGCCTAGAAATGCTCCCCAGGAGAGAAAAAATGTCAGTGACAAAAGGAGGAAGGTTTCTTGGGTGCTGTGGTGCCACACGAGCATAGGTTAGAAGAAAGCGGGAGTGCGGCCGCGCTCACCACTGCTGGGCACTCCCTCAGGGCTCCAGTGAGAGTGAGCCACAGGGACAAAACTCACTTTTGCTCTCTCCATCCTGCCATCCAAAGCAGAACTCTGAGGTTTGCCTTCCCACATCCTCTTTCCCCATGCTGCTTACCACAGTTCTCCAAACATGCTCTATTTCTACTCTTAAATCCCGTCCTGTCTCCTTCAAAATCCCTATATCTTTTATGCCCCAGGCTTGGCCTGCAATGGTATAATAAATAGTTTTAGACCAGTAACCCACAGTACCTTGAAATACCATTTTTGCCGTGGTGATCTGAATTTTAAATAAGGAAACATGGACAGAGCAATGCTGGAAATTTTTTTTTAATGTGAAAGAGCAATTTGTGGGTTGGGGAGCTATCTTGCCCCCATTACAACAATAAGCAAATGCCTGTCTTATATGTTGAAACTATTTCATCTTCCTCCTTTCCCACCTTGCTGTGTTCCAATGGCTTTCAGAGCTGTGGATATTTTGCGTGTGAATGGACAGAATTCTCCCTCCACGACTTGATTCTTCCTCCATGAAGTCTTACCCTTTCCTAGTCGGACCCACTCCCTTCTGACTCTGGCCTTCTTTATATTTATGGCATTTATCACAACATGCCAGGTATTATATTCCGTTGTATGTGGGCCAACTTCCCCAACTAGATTGTGAAGAAGTCCTCTTGGAGGGAAGCCATATCTTATCAACTTTGTAAAATTTTTTTTTCCTCTTTCTTTTTCCTCTTCTTTTGTTCCCCTCAAACATTTATCAAGCACCTATTGTGCTCTTGGAACTGTTTTTGGTTCGCTGGGGATGAATAGGACACTAGCCCTCTCCTTAAGGTTGTTGTAGACTGGAGGCAGAGCAGACAGATGTGCGTACCATACTGTCATGATGTAGTAAGATGATTCCTACACTAAAGGGATGTACAAGAATTTGTGATAGACCAGAGGGAGGAATGATCAAATCTGCCTGGGGAAAAAGGGTGAGATGACACATATATTAAGCACCCATTCTGTGCCAACTCTCATAACAACCCTGTGAATAGGTATTATTATTTCCATTTGGTTAGGAGATGAAGGATCAGAGAAATTAAGTAACTATCCCACAACAAATCTTTAAAGTAGTGGAACCAGTATTTTTATCCAACTGTCTTAGACTTTGAAGTCATGTTCTTTCTACTACAACATTTGACAAAGGAGGTCGAATCTTGAAAAACATATGTCTTTTGACATCTAGACGAAGAAGGGAAGACTATCACAGGCAGAGGGAGCATTTGGTGTGAATATACATAGGTGGGGAGGAATTGAATGTATTTGATAGTCTTGAGCCCAGGGCAGGAGTTGGAGTGATGGAGGGTCAGAGCATGAGGCCCATTGATGCAGGATGTGGCTGGATTGGTGCACAAAGAGCTAACTCCTGGACAGCCTTTGTTCTATGGTAAGAAGTTTTGATTTTATTCTGTGAGTGATGGGAGCCAGTGGATAATATAAAGCCTAGCACTAATACAATTATATTTTCATTTAAAATGATAACTCTAATAGCAATGTGAAGGGCACATTAGAAACAAAAGAGCTGGGAGTCTGCAAAGCCGGGAAAGAGATGTCCAGTTTCTACCTTTACTGATTTCCCCCCAGGCTCTTCAAGCTGCAAGACTCCACAGGGCACCAATCCCATGGTATTGTATGTGAATGTTGCCTCCAAGAGCTGTGCAACTGTCCCACTCCATACCGTAGAATTTCTTTCTCCCATATCTTGTTATGTATTTCTATAATTGCACTTAAAATACTTGTTTTGCAGTTTTTCAAATTTTCATGCTTGTCTTATTTTAATAGACTATGAGCTGCTTATGAGCAGAGCGTATCTCATATCTCTATTCCCAGCAGTTAGCACAGAGTCTGAAACACAGCAGGCACTCCCTAAAGATTTCTTGAATGAGTAAATGAATGAATAAAATTCCATGGAAGTCTGGAAGAGTCGTATGATCATGATTCAGATGTCCTTGAATCAGCCATTTATTATTTGTGTGAACTTCAACACGTTACTTAATCTCATTGAACCTATTTCCTCAGCGCTGAAATAGAAATAATAAAACCTAATGTATGGGATTGTCATGATAACTATAAATAATGTTTGTAATGTGTTTATATAAGTTCCTAGTCCTAGTAGCACTTAATAAATGGTAGGTTTACTATTAGCTGTAGCCGATGCTGTCAGCACTGCCCATATCCCTCAAACCCTGCAATTAAATGTACTCTAGTCAACTTCCAAACTTGAGCATTTGCATTTCTGCACCACAAGCTTCTTTCTAGAACTCCAGGAGACTGCCCTGCCTGTGTTCAGCATGGCAGAAGTGCTGGAAAATTAATAAGCAATGACTGACAGTACCCAGTGTACAAATCCCCAGCCTGCTCAGGGTGGGAAGGGTGTGTTCTGCGTCAGTCTTTAGGGTCCCTGCGGGACTGAGCCACAACAGAGGGCGCTGGTTTAGTAGCACACTCTGGAGCGCTTCGTTTTCTTCTCTCTTACTTCCTCCTACTGGTGTTCCTTGCACCTCCCAAATAAACCATTTGCTTCTTAAATCCTTGTCACAAGGTCTACTTTTGGGAAGATGGAGAATTTTCTTTATCAATAAGTATTATGAGAGCAGATGAAGTTTTCACATTTTGAAGAATTTTGAAAAAACTTAAAAATGTCGTTGTATCTGTGGCAGAAGTCTAATGAGATTTTTCTTCTTTTTCTTGCAACAGGGATTATAATTAATTACAACTACAATTACACAGGGATTATGACCCATATTTTGCTATCACATGGGTTAGTCCTGGATCTCATGGATCTCTCTGGAGGCTTGATTACTGGAAGTACCTCGTGGTCCTGTTAGAATAGTCTTCACCCCTAACGGCTTTCTAAGACGTCCCACCAGGGAAGGATTGTGGCAGATTTCTATTGTTCTGGGAAGAATTCCGTACCCATCCTGTATCTTCCCTGGGAAGGCATCATATAGTAAAATCAGCCAGTACTTCATTCATGTAACCTCTTCTTTGTTTTTCCTCTCCTTCCTCATGCCCTTCTCTCCTCCCAACAATCTTCCAGGTGTGGTTTCAGAACCGAAGAGCCAAATTCCGCAGGAATGAGAGAGCCATGCTGGCCAATAAAAACGCTTCCCTCCTCAAATCCTACTCAGGAGACGTGACTGCTGTGGAGCAGCCCATTGTACCTCGTCCTGCTCCAAGACCCACCGATTATCTCTCCTGGGGCACAGCCTCTCCATACAGGTGAATGACTGGCCCACCCTCCCTTGCTCCACTTCCACATGTTTCTCAGCGGTTGGTCATGTTCAAAGCTGCTTGTGCAGCTGGCTGACATTTCTTACTGGGTTAACCTCTTCAGAGACATTCAACTTGTTGACATCCCCAGATTTTCACAGGAGATTACTAGTTGCCCCAGGAGCAGGGTTTGGGGCAGAAGAGAGGGGCAGGCCATCAGCAATCTCCTCTTGGACTCAGGAACTCTTGCAAAAGTTTCAAAGATGGGGAAGAATCTAAAAGAAAAGATCGTTAAGCTATGCCCAGAGTCCCTCTTGCAACCATTCTGGAACAAAACTTTACTCCATTTCCAAGTTTAAGATAGATTTGTTTTCTTATGCTCAAGTAGGAATTTAAGTTGTGAGGCTGTAAGTGTAGGACCGAAGGCAAACTTCACAGTAAACTGATTTTGAATTAAAAGAAGAGGAAAGAGGAAGGAAGGAGGGAGGAAGGGAAGAAAGGAAGGAAAGAAAGAAAGAAAGATGGAGAAAGAGAGAGGCAGAGAAGGAAAAAAAAGTCCAAGATCATTCTGATCACTTTCATGGCCACAGTTCTCTGTTAGTAGATGGGGACGTCTTATGATCCAAGATGCCTTCCAATTCTATTGCTAATTCTTATCTACTTTTCTGAAGTTCTTGGGAGTCAGTTTGTGTGCGTTTTTTAAAATATAAAGACAATGTATAATTTGCACTAAACTTTTATATTAAGAAGGTGAAAATTTTCAAAGAGGCAAATAACAGAGTACTATTTCAATCTCTTGGAGAGTCATTTAACTTCCATTTATTATGCTGTTCAGAAAATATAGGTTAATGCCAGAGGGACACTGAGACACAAGTGCCTAATGCATTGTCATCAGTCTAAAGTGCCTTTCTTTGAACCTAAATCTGAGTGCTCTTAGAAACCAGATCAAGGCTATGTGTTCTCTCTGGCAGATTGCAGCAGAGGAAGAAGTAGTCACAAATTCATTTATTATGCTTTTGTTTACCTTTTTATTGTTAAGGTTAATTAATGGTTTAAGGAGAAGTTTTAAACTAATTATTGGAGATTATCTCCCAACTGAAGCTGAACTCCTGATGTTAAATGCCACATTTGTGAAATGTAAACACTTTTCAAAAGTTGATCATGCTAATCAAAGCAAAAGGCCTCACCTAAATGTTCTTTCTGTTTCGAAATTATTTCCTTGAAAGAAACATCATAAATGCATTTGGAAAATATTTTTAAATCCCTCATTGCGAAATTAGCCTGAATCACTTTGGTCTTAGTACATAGAGGTCCCATGCATAGGAAATTGGAAATTTCTATTGCTCTCAGACATAAAGATTGGTTGTATCTGTGTGACCTATTTAAACTTTAGACTCCTTTCCCATAGGATTTACTGAAAACACATTTTGAAGACCGTTGTGAAATCACAAAGTCTTTAATATTTTAAATAAGTGGAAGACTGCTTTGTTTCTCTGGTAAATATTGATAGTTCATAGACTCAGTACGTGGCTTGGGAAATGGATGTGGTTCAAAGCTTGATGTTTCAAGGTCTCTGGTTTGAACTTGGTCACAACCAGGAAGTATTGCTCCTTTTCTGCCTGGGTCCTACTTGGGAACTTTTCACACCAGCTGTAAAGAATCCAGATGGCTGTTATATGGTCCTTACCAGTGAGATGCTGAGGACAGTACACTGCATGAGTGGGGATGAAATATTTGCTGAATTAATATTAGGTTAGTCTACCTGAACCTCAGCAAAAGTTCAACCCAGTGTCTGCATCATATATATTTTGTATATGGGTATCTAACTGAAATTATTAACATGCAATTTATGTGTGCCTTTTTTGGAAATGTTCTATTATAATTTGAAAGATTATGTAGAAATACTAGATAAAATTTTTTAAAACATTCATAATTCCACCATCTTGACATAACTAGTTTGTTTATTTTTGCAATTAGAGTTCAGTATTTTCTATAGTGTAGCCTTAATGTACATATAATTTTGTATTCTTCTCTTTTCACTTAAAATCATATAACTTAATACTTTTTACTCATTTCATGGTATACTTTTATATCGTTTCTCTCTTAGATACAGAGTTTGTAAAAAATAATTTAAAATTTCATAGAATTTGATTGTTCAGATTCTGTATGAAGAATAAATTAACCTCCAGATATAAGTAAAAAAATGATGGTTTAAAGCAGTAATTTTATCAATAATAATGTTTTTGACCCAATGTTTACTGGAGTGTTTATATTTTGATTAATTTCTAAAAGTAGCAAAAAGCTATTCTGTTATTTGGAGATTTTTCTGCTATGTTTAGAACCAAAATACATTATGATTTCACATTTTGAAGCTTGGTAGGAAATATAAGTTTTATTAAGGAAATATAAAAGAGAAATAAGCGATGAAAAGCAAAGGAAATGATCGACCTTTTGTGTTATGGGAAATTAACTTGCTAATTCTGTTGGTACTGTTATGTCAAGTTAGTTATCTCACATGTGACATTCATTAAAAGGCATTTCTCTTGGTTAATCCTTGGAACGCTCCTGTGTGGTAGCTCTGTCCTTGCTCTGGTTGCAAAGAAGAGACTGAACACTTGCCTAAGTTTAAGCCTTCAGCAAGCAGAATTAGACTCGGTGCTCGTGATCCCCGTTTCTGTCCAACATCTTAGGCCACATAACCATATTTTCATTCAAGTTAAACCTTACCTTATATTGAAAGTAGTAAAAAGTACAAGACTGGAAAACTGTGTAAACATCCCCTTTGATTCAGAGTCTGTTTCAGATCAGTGAAGCATGCCTGCCGCTGAGGTCCACATTCTGGGGTGTGTGGGTATCCCCTTGGGATGACTGATGTGGCTTGGTCACACAACCCAGGGACAGTGAGCAGACAGCTTTGCCAGAGAGGACAGTTTGCTGACTTCCACAGCTCTCCCTTGGAAGAAGAGAGGAGGAAACCAAGATTCAAAGCAATTGTTTGCATATGGTCAGAATTATGGGATGGGAAATAGCCAACACTTTTTTTTCTGGGTGTCTTTTATATCCCGAGTGGTGGCTGTGTAATTTATCGTCCAAACTGGGACACTTTTTGAGAGTGAAAGGGGAGTGCTATTAATAATTACACTAGGACAGCAGGCATAAACTGGGATTATCCCGGGCAAACTGGGACATATGGTTCACTCTATTTATAGCCATCATGACCTCGTTCATTCCCTTGGGCATGTTAGAAGTGATGATGTCAGGCAGGCAACTGAGTCACCAGAAGGAGCAAAGCATTCCCTAACAGAGACACTACTGTCCTGGCAGGTGTCTTCTTGATCTACCCGTAGCCGGTTGAAGGAAGCTTGTTTTTGACACATGAGCCCACTGCTTAGCTCAGAGCTGTTTTCCTTAGACAAAGGAAAGCACACACAAGCACCAGAGTTATTTAGACTCACTAATCTTGTGGTGCTTTGTCTCTTGGGTAGCAGTGATTAACCAAGTCCTGGACTTTTGACTGAAGTAAAAGTCAAAAGTTCATTTTAGATGAAGTTGTCAAGAAATCTTGCCCCAGAGACACCCTTTCCTATGAGGGATAGATAGAGAATGGCCTGGATCTGCAGTATTGGTCTGGAGTGCCATTTCCAGAGGGAGGGCCGGGCTCCCAAGAAAACTACTGAAAGTGAAAGAGAGGCCAGCTACCCTGGTCCACAGTTTCCCTCCCCCATCCTGCTCCTCCTCCCTCATTTGATCGTGGTCACGGTGCTGCCTGACATCTGCTGAACGCATTTGGCTCATTTCTCCCTTTCACACTTTCAAAAATAGATCCTCGTCCCTCCCAAGATGTTGTTTACACGAGGGGCTTCATAACGGATTCTAACGGAAGACACTGAAAAGGTAACTTGTCAGAGGGGGAAGAGGGTGGCTGCTCGGGGTAGGGTTTAAATGGGAATTAAGTGTGTTCAAGAAAGTGGGGCTTGCAATTCTAGAAATGTAGGCAGTGAGGTCCTCGAGTGGGGAATATTCTTGTAAATCAGAGCTGCAAGAAAATGTGTTCATAAAGTTAAGGGCAGTCTGATAGTCTGGAGAAGAGCTCCTCAAAGATTACTGAGCGTATGAATCACCTGGGATCGTGTTACAACGTAGACTTGGATTCAGTAGGTCTGGAGCAGGACCTGGGATCTGCATCTCTAACATGCTCCCATGTGATGTTGGTGCTGTGGACATTTGGTACATACTTTGAATAGTTAGGCTTTAGATGACTGTAGGATATGGGGCAGGGTCAGAAGAACTATGTTCTTGTCCTGGCTTCTGTTGCTCCTCAGGCCAGTTGGCTCATCAATCTCTTATGTAGCCTTATATCTAAGATTGAGCTACCAATAGTTTCCTTACTACATGTCTCACAGGGGCGTTTGGAACCTAGAGGTAAGCAAAGTGCATTTCAAAAAAAAAAATCCTTGAGACAGTAGAAAGATGCAAGACCTCATATATAAAAACATTTCTAGAAACAAAAGTTAAAGATAGCAGAAAGATCACTGAACATGTAGTGCAAACTGAAGGCTTACCAATGAAATGTGGTCCAAGTGTGTCCACTTTAAGTGCTCAATATACATTTAAAAAAATCAACTTCTGAATTTTAAAACCAGAAGTTAGAAATGATTCTTTAAATCACAAAAGATCACTTCCAAAAGGATTTGTGGAGTCTCTCTTTAAAAGTAAATTTCCCTAGGAAAACTGGTATTGAATTTTCTTAGATGAAGCAAGTATACCTCCATTGTTCTTGCACCAACCAAAGAACAAACCAAAGAGATGGTCTCCATCCTCTACACATCACTGAGTCGCGAAAACCTCAAGCTCTACAGCTTTTGGAAAAATCCCGAGCTGGCGAAACCCTAGGATCTCAGGAAGACACACAAACCTCTTGGGCTGACAGATTTGTCTTTGGGGTGGAATTTTCAACAGCCTGTCATTTGTCCAAAAGGGCCAAATAGAAAACGAAGTTGGAGTTGAGAACTGAGTCAGGTATTACTTTTCCCCCAGCTCTCCTCAATTGTTTTGTGATTTGTGGACTTACTGTGGGAGACTGGAAAGCAGATGGGCAGACGTCCGTAAGTTTCCTGGTTTAAAATCATGCCCTGTACAGTATTTTCCATACTTCCTTAGTGTTTGGCCGTCATTTTAATGCATTCTTCCTCATGACAACCTTTCAGGGTAGGTTGAAATGATCAAAAATGATTTGTCCCCAGTGAACACAGAGCTCTAACCCTGCTGGTGGTGAGCATTCTGCTGTCCATGGCTGAGCTCCATCTCTTAGGAATCTCCAAATAAGGAGATGGAAAAATTTCAAGCTTACTTAAATGTGTCAGCTCTATACAAGTCCCAGTGCAAATTTGCTGAATCAACAGATGGGATACAAGCGTTTCTTTTTCGTCTCTAATTCCTTGATGTCCTTTATTCAGCAATGTAGTTTCTTAGTCACAGACACAAAGAACTTTACATTCTTAAATACTAAATAGAAATGGTGCTTTAGCCAAACCCTATAAACCCAGTCCCAGAACTCAGCTCATGTCTGCATCCTGTTAGAGGAGTAGGTGGTTCTTGCTCAGAAGATGAGACCAATGGGCAGGACCTTTTGGCGTTGGTAAGCAGGCTCTTAGTGTTATCTGTGCTTGGTCTATACAAATCACTTAGTTTGAATCTCACTTTTTTTATTCCAGGAAGCTTAATTCTGTATAGGAACAAATGGTCATTTTACATGGTTTGAATGGCCCTATAAAATTGGTTGAAAACAGCTAATTACCCTTATTTGTGAGACATTTGTCACAAATGTCTTTTGAGAAAACATTTCAAGGTTCTCTTTCTTTTCCTAACACAGAGCTTTAGAAGTTTCGCTGACATGGAAAACAAGTGGTCATGAACAATCTCTCAGATTGGCAGCCACTCAAGGCTCTCTTGCATCTGTTGTCACTTTGGGAAGTGGGTCCTCTCCATCTTACTTCTAATGCTGTTTTTGAAGCATGACTAAACTGCTCTTAGAGTACCCCCTCATTAATTCTGTCTTTTCTGACCTGTAACAAGTCTTGCTTGTCACTACTGGTATGTCAAAGGACTGCTCATTGCTTGCCTATATGGCACTTTTGGTTCAAGTTGAGAAACTAGACCCATGTCAAACTACTGTAGGGAAAACAGACTCATAATTCTTTAGTATGTGCACAAAATATCACTGTAGTCTCTACTCATAGGGTTCTATATTCTAAACATTTGTTAACAGGCTGTGAATTAAGACTGCCTCTGTTCTTTTATCCTATTTCTTATGGCCATGTAATGCTGGAATAAATTAGATCAATTTGTGAAAGTTTATAACTTTCCTAAACACCTATTAAGTGAAAATGTTGTTGCTTATCAAGCTCCTAGGGAATTGCAAAACTCGCTCATTAATTCACTGCTTTTTTATCCTCACTAACTTGAGGGCTGCCTACAAGACACTGTCATGGCCTTACTAATACCGTGGTGTCCTTATGAAAGCGCCACAGTATAATCAGACAAGGGTGCTGTTCTCAACTCTGGAAACACAGGTTGCCGTTTAAGGGAAAATGTATCAGTGAAAATCCAATCTCCTGTGCAAAATATAACCCTAATTTCCATTAATTTGGTTTTGAGATGGAAAGTGGATCAGCATTCATCTCATTTGGGATATTAATATCTGGACTGCATTAGAGAGAGAATCTCAGTATTTCCAAGAAATGTGTTACCATACTAAGTCTTCAGACTAAAATATGAGATGATGTTAGTAAACTATGAAGTAACTACAGCAAAAATGGTTATATAATAGATAAAATTGAAATCACAACAATAGTAGACCTTTCTAGAAAACAGTAACAGCATTTTTAGTAAACTCAAATAATCCCCCAAAATTCGAATTCCCTTTGTCTGCTAAGAAAAATGGACCATACCTTTGACGATCAAAAAAGAAGAGAATTTCTATTAAACAGGACTTTGCTGGTCCAGAATTTCAAAGGATGAAAAACATATCCCTCAGAAGGCCAAGTACTTAAAAGCACAATACTCCATGACAAGCTACAATTCGCCATCAGAGAATTTTTTTCTTTGTGCTCTCTCATGAAGTTTCAGCCTTTGTGTTTTCAGAAACCATTCAATTTTATTCTCAGTACTTAACAAATAATACAGATAACTCACAATTCCAGCTTCTCTCCCATGCATTTAAAATAGTACTATGTACCATCGTTAGGGCTTAATTGTCTCACAGAAACCTGGTTGAGAAAGGCTGATTTGGTTGACTCTATAATCTATAACTTAGGTATATTTCTCAAATCCAATTGTCTCTTTTTTTTTAGCTGCTTAGATCTTTGATTTCTTTGAAATCTTAGATTTCAGTATATCCTAGAATTTCTTGAGTATAGGATTTATGGATTTGCATATATTTCTGGTAGGGTCTTCAATGGAAGCATGTCATTCATATAGGTATTAAATGATATCTATATGGGTTTTGAAAATAAATGAAATTTCTTGGTATATTATAAAACAAAAAACTTGTCCCATTTTAACAGGTTGTTCTGATCATTTATCTCACTCCTAATTGAAACCAACTTAACTGGGGACTTTTTCTGCCTCTGTCTTTTGGTAGATGGTGGTAGAAGTCATAATCTATTCTATAAGTCTAACCTGCACTAATATTTGTTCATTTTTTTACTGTTAACAGATATTTTTTGATAGATATAAGAATATGCAATCATCAGCCTCTGGTGTAGTCATGTCCCTTCTGATTTTTCTCATTCTAGTAAGACAGCAAAATTAACAGGAAGGACTAGTTCCTCAGAATAAAAGCATATTGGGAAAATGTTTTTAGAATCATTACTCACAGCAGGCTGACAGAGATCAATGACATTGAGCAGTAGTCAGTTTAATCATACTATATCTATTTCTCAGTTATTTATCCATTCATTAAATCCTTTCTTAAATGCCAAATACATGCTAGATATGGTGTTCACTCTACCTGGGGCTGCAGTGGTGAACAAGGCAGATGTGGTGTCCGATCTATGGGTTTGTAGTTGAGGAACTGAAATAAGCGCTAAAAGGAAAATTACAGGGTGCTATTGGAGAACCTAACTTTGTGTAGACGATTAAGATCATCTACCCAGAAATGAGTAGGAGTGAGGCAGACAAAAATGAAATGGAAGAATGTAGGATTCTTTTGGAACCCTTCTGAGTCTTCCCCCTCTTGCCATAAGGCACACACACACACACACACACACACACACGCCAGTGCTATAAGGATTTTAAATTAAAATGTATTTAAATACAGATGTGTATTTCTGGAAAGACCTAGTGGTCTGGGACTAATTATATTTCTTTAACCTAATTTTCCTGGGTTAATTGCTAGTCACTGAGCTGCAATAGGCTATTGTGAGTCTTGACTATAAGACTTGATTATAAGTCTTGACTATAAGACTCACATTTGGTGTCCCAAATAGGTATTAATGATATAGTCTATGTGTAGAGTAGCTCTAGTTTTCTCTCTTTCTGGTCTGTCACTTGATCCCCAGAACCACAAACGCCTGTGTGGCTGACAAAATTGCATTGGAATGCAGGCAACAGAAGAGCACATGTCATTCCATTTATAAGTCTATCTCATTCCAGTCCTCAGTTGAAAGGGGTTTTGCTAATCTTAGAAACAACTAGAAACATTTTCATTTAATTAAAATGAGTTCCCTTTTAACTATTTATTATAAAGTAATGGATAATTTGCATCCAAGTCTAAGAAACCATTAGTTTTTCCTTTAAAAGAAATTCATGGATGCAATCAATAGAAACCTGCTAATTACAAATTTCTGCCCAGCAGTATTCCTAGGTCTAAATTACAATCTCTGACAACAAAAAACAACTTCAGGTTTTTCTCAGCGATGAGGACAGTGAGAAACAGTTACCTCTGAGGTCAGGAATCCTGGAGCCTTTGCTAGTTTATCTAGGAGCTTTAAACATTTCCTAAATAACTGACTCAAAAGGCGGTGTGAGCTACTCAAACGCTTTTGAGGAGAAGCTATAAAATCAAGGCCAATCGGGATGGGAACCTCTTGATTCAGCAATGCTTGGTACTATCGACCAGTGAATCAAGAAGGGCAGAGATGTTATCTTGGTTGTTTTAACTGGTTCTCCAAGTACACTATTTAATATGGTATTTATTGATTATCTAAAATGGGTTAGAATTAAAGTCAGCTACCTAGAGTGAAGGAGGCAAAATGCCCTTTAACTTCTTTTCAAATGCCTGCTTCTCTCCTTCATTGCTCCCACAGCCTGGTGATGTAGGCAGGAAGAGAGATTAAATAGTGTTTTAATCGGTCAGCTGATGAAACACCTGCTACTCAACATAAGCAACTTTCTTCTCTTCCCCCAGAAATAAATCATTACTCACTGTATCCAGCACACCAAATACCTCTCCCCTTGCCTTGTTCCACTCTCCACTGCTGTCCCCTGCCCTTCGAAACACTGCCATGCTTTTCCAAGGGCCTTAGACTCATGGAAATCTGGGGCCAAAGGGACCTCAGAGGTCATCTAGTCCAACCCTTGCCCCCACCCACCCCCATCCTGAGAGTTGCATCCATCTGGGGCACAGACTTGCAGCTTTGTGAAACTAATGCCTGATATTCTCCCTGCTCTCTCCTTTGTCCCTACAGCGCCATGGCTACTTACTCTGCCACATGTGCCAACAATAGCCCTGCACAGGGCATCAACATGGCCAACAGCATTGCCAACCTGAGACTGAAGGCCAAGGAATATAGTTTACAGAGGAACCAGGTGCCAACAGTCAACTGAGGAAAAAAATAAATAAACAGGCCTAAGAAGAAATCAAAAACCATAAGACACCTATCCTGCTTGTCATTTCTTCATCTGCTGGAAAAAAAAATAAAAACAAACAAACAAACAAAAAACAGAAGTAAAATATTGGGACCATGGCAGAAAAAAGCAGGAGAGGAGCAAAATGAAAATTAGTTCAATGTTCCTCCTCCCTCTGGGATACCACCACCACTTGTTTCTGTGTGTGTTAATTTTGTTTTTCCTTCTATTCATGCGCTTTGCTTTATATACTCCGAGCTTCTTCTGTTAGGTTCAGGCTACCCAACCCCATGTTGTATGGGTTTTAAAAAAATCTACAGCGGCCAAAGAAACCATATATATATTCAGAACAATGTCTATAGTCTCCTCAATGACCTGTTTGAACCTCAGTGCCTTACCCTATCCTTCTTCCCAATTCTCTGTATAGAAGCTTTAGGAACTTCTGAAAAGCCAAAATCTTTCTGAAGAATCTGTGCCAGACGTGATTCCCTTTCTCATTATCTCCATCTCTGTTGGTCATGGTAAGGTTTTTCCATCAGCTACTAGGAAAAAAGCAGTTGTGTACACCATCTTGTCACTGGCCTCTCTGATCCAATGTGATTGGCTGTGTCTGGCTAATTCTAAGCTCTAAGCTCTAGATTTAAGCTCTAGATATAAGCTCTAGATTTAAGCTCTAAGCTATAGATGATAATATTGCCATCACTACCACCCCTCACCCCCATCCAAACAATCAGCCATCTTAAGTTAAAGATATTTGTTGTTTTTGAATGATTTGCTGTCATGGGCTATTTGATAGAAGAAATATTTTTCACTTGAGAGAGGGAGAGAAATTTCTCTAGGAAAACAAAAACGGAGTTGTGAAAGGCATGGCCTACATCTCTTTGGTGCCTTAAGAGTAGTCAGATGCACACTTATATATATACTGTATATATTTATATATTATATATATATATAAAATATTCTTGCAAGCTTGAGTTTGCAGTTTCTCAAACACTACAAAAAGCAAATTTCATACCGTCACCACTGTCCTTATCTCTATAGTGATGAGATGTTGTATTAGGGATCCTGTTTCCTTTCTTTCTCCACACAAAATTCTCATTAAGGCCACAGAGCAATTGATAGGGCAGCTGTTTGAGAACCGGTCTCGTTTCCACATTAGGGCTTTAAATAAATTAGGAACTATTGAAGCTATAAAAATGTCCTTGAGTGTGGAGCCTGAGCTCTGGTGGAATGCTGATGCGTCCTGATCTATCATGGGAATTGCACTCAGAGAGAGGAGGGAAAGCCATTTAGTCATCTGCCCTGTCTCTGCCAACAGGAATCTGAAAGACCCAGGTTTAAATGGAATACTTAAAGGTTTGCCTAAATTCCAAAAATAAAAGGCAATTGTGGGCTATTTTTATTTTCTAATATTTTGAAATAAAGTTTAGCATCTAGGGCTGGGAGCCGGGACTGACCTTTCTTTATTTCTTTCTCTTTGTTTCCAGCTGTGCTTTTGTAACTTGTCAGGTGGACTTGACCAGACCACATTTCCATGCTGTGCCTCAGTTTACCTTTTTGCAAAATGGGTTTAACAGTACTTACCTACCTCACAGGGGTGTTGTGAGGCTCTATTCATTTGCTCCTTTGCTCTTTCCTATGTTCTCTGTATGTCCAGCACTTTGTAGCCATGGGAGGAAAGAGACTCTGAAAGTTCGTGGAAGGATATGGTACCTGGAAGCCTTGTTTTCCAGCAGGGGAATGCTACCTTGCTGTATGTACTTATAACCTTGTATTTGGAAATGAGAAATAGGTTTTTATTTACAGACCTCTCAAAAATCACATCGTTTGACCAAAGAATAATTTAACACACACGGAATAGACGTATTTCTGACATATTTTCATCCTGACCAGCTTGGTTCTAATAATTTTAGTTATCAGTGGTTAAAAAGCTTTCGATTGATTTTGGCCCATTATGCCAACTTTGAGTGACACACAAGGAATTGGGGGTTTAAGATGCACTTTTAGCACATTTATTATTCCTTGGGCATATCAGATTGAGCTAATGGTGGTATTTTTTCAAATAGCCACCAATCTGAAAATGTTATTTCAGATGTTGATTCTGTACTTCCTTTAATAACAAGAAGGAAGCCCATCTTATGCATTTTGCTCTCATCAACTGATTCCCTCTTCTTTTAACCTACTATTAAAACATTTCTTACTGAATGGTTGATGTAGGCTGGCTGAACAACACACATCACTTGCTTCCTAAAGAGTCTCTCGACTAGTTCTTTTGTCCCAGTAGCTGCTGCGGATTATCAAGTTTCAAAGGAACAGTGTATCCTAACAGATTAAAACATTTCTTTGTGAAATGAGTGCAATCCCAGAAATTGGTGAACTTTTGGAGTTTGGAGTTTGGGGAGAACAGCTAAAAGAGGATTTGGGTCATAGAGCAGGGAACAGAAAGCACTCATGAGAAGATTTTGCTACAAAGGGAGACTCTTAGGAGAGGAAGTAAGGAGAGAGAGGGTTATGTGAAACAAAGTCATGTGAAGCTTGCATCTGGACGTCTGTTTTCAGTGGTGAACAGAGAAGCCTGAAGCTATAACCCAAATGGGGGTGAGACTGGGCAGTGTTACCCAATGCCTGGAAAAGCGAGATCTGGGAATATCATAGAGTAACCAGTGCTGGTCAGCCATAGGAACTTGCATTGCTGTTAATAATACCACAAGCATCTATTATCTAAGCACTCGATCAAGTATACACATGGTACAAGCACTCAGTTTTGTTCATTTATTATTGATTTAAAAAAAACAGAAGTTTGATACATGATTTGGAGGAGTAGCTTTCTGGCTCCTAAGCCAGGTGTAACAGAAGGCCTCAGGGCCGCAAAGTACAAAAGCATGCCCCTGTTCCTCACCGTCATTGTACCCAGATACAGATGAATACAAACTATCTGTGCCCCCAAGTCCTCCCCAGACAAGATGCTGAATTGTAGGATACTTTGGCAGGTTAAATCAAACCAGAAGAGGTGACTGAATAAAAAGGGAATGACATTTAGGTATAAAGATCTCATAAGAAATGTAATATGTAAATTATATCTTGCTTTATGATGTAAAATATACATTGTTTGCGCTAGAATAGAAATGATTCCTTTTCAATAAAAAGAAAGAATGATGCTACTATGTCGTCTTTTGTTGTATACATTTGAGTCTGCTGATTCTTCTCTCTTTGAACTTTATAAACAGATCTGCTAGAATCTAAGATTACATTCAGAAAAGAATGAAAGTAAGATGGATTTATGAACAAGAGAACTTTTTTTTCTTTTGCTTGAAGAAGATTAGCCCCTAGCTAACATCTATGCCATGCTTCCTCTACTTTATATGTGGGTTGCCACCACAGTGTGCCTGATGAGTGGTGTAGGTCTGCACCCGGGATCCAAACCTGCGAACCCGGGCCACCAAAGCGGAATGCGCGGAACTTAACCACTATGCCATGGGGCTGGCCCCAACAAGAGAACTTTTACCAGAGTGTGCTATTATTTCCTAAAAAGGAAAATAATCTATTGTTCCTCAAAAGTAAAGACAATGGTGGGAGGTAGAGGGGACATTTATTATTATAATGGGTAAGTATAGAATGGGACTTTTATGAGAGTTTATCTATTTTTTACCCACATCTTTAGCATCTACAATACCAGATAGCATATGACAAAGGAGACTTCATATAAAGTACAGCATTTTATTTTAGAATAGAGAAGAAACACAGTAAAATTTTGTAATCACCTATGGTGCATGGCATCGCGTGTGTGGTAATGGGCGCGGGAATAGAAAACCCAAATTTGGAGGCACAGGTTCTGTTTTCATACAAATTAAAACCTGTCTTAAAAGCAAACTCTAGCATGAACAAAGGTATGCAGCAGTTCAAGACAATAAATGAATGTGTCAAACACATAGAGCAGATGGGAGTTCAGAAGAAGAAGAAAGAAAAGACTGTGAGCTGGAATGGGAGAGGCTTTCACGGAGGAACTGGGACTGAGTTTCATCAGCCAGGATTTGGGCAGTAGAAGAGGAGGTGATGGCCTTTCCAGTGGGGGCGTGGAGAAGAAGGTGTGAAGACAGGGGTACTGGAATGAGGAATTTGTGTTCAGGGACCAGGGCAAGATGGGCCCAGATGGGATGGAGAGTTTATTTTGAAGCAGAGTGAAAGAAAACACTGGAGATTGGAGTTGAGCCTTCATCTTGCAGGGTATTGGGTGTGAGACACAGGAGTTTGGTCTTTTCCCCAAGCCACAGAGATCCCTTGAAAGTTATGACGCAGAAAAAAAAATGCCATGCCAAAAGTACTACTTGAGCAGGATTATTGTAAGTAAAAGAATGAGATAATCTAGAGCAGGTCGGGAACTGGAAGCAGAAGAACAGCTAGAAGGGGAACAAAAAACAAAAGATGAGGAGGAAACATCTTGCAAGGAAAGAATCAATAGGACTTCACGGCAGGAAAAGAGAATGGAGCCACGGACAAGACTGGTTCGAAACCTGGGGACGAGGAGAAGGAATCACTGACAAAACTGACAAAAATCAACAGAAATAGGAGAGACCCAGTACAGGAGACGATAACTGCAGTTTTAGATGTATTATTGAATTTGAAAACCAAAACGTTAAGAGTCCAGTGAGTGAAGATATGAAAGTAGGGCTTGGAGCCAAGATCAAGGATGGAGATAGAAGTTTGGGATTCATCTTTGAGGAGGCTACTCCTTGAGGTACAAGAGTGAATGAGTTCTTTGAGAACAGAGTGTGTCATTGTGACTCAAATAATTATTCTGATAAATCGCTGTCAGAAGTAGTTTCAGCCGAGGGAGGAAGACTGGACTTTGAAGAACATCTATAGTTGGGGAGAGGGCTACCAAAGGCAATTTACAAGGAGCTGTTTGAGAAATAGGAGGAGGATCAGCTTGTTTGTTATCTCAGGGTTAAGAAAAGAGAAGTTTTCAAAAAGAAGGGAACGTTCAACATACTCAAATGCTGTAGAGCTGACAAGCCGTTGGATTAGTGAATTTCTAGAGTAAAAAGTTTACTCCACTCATCCCTATGACCTTAGTTTAAAGGCCTCGTCTAGTCTTCTGCCTTGGGACAAAGCTACAGACGAGTTTTGAACAGAGTTATCTGCCCGCTATCTTCAGGCAGCATCTCAGTATATTGTAATTTGCAGTGGGTGGGAGTGGATACCTTCTATTAGGCCTGTGGGGAGAGGGACAGCAAAGAGGTTTGGGAAGGGGCCGAAAAAGCAGACTTCCACTCGTGTCTCTAGCTCCCGTAAAGACTCAATACTTTCCACTGTGCTTTAAACGCCCTAGCTTTACTTGAAAAGGGAGAAATTCTTTTACCTTTCACAGAGTTTGCTATTGTCTGACCCTCAGGAGTCTTGGAGATCTGGCATTGGGTTGAGATCCTCCCTGTTCCACGAGGTACCTCAGGTCATCTAGTTCTGGATTTGAAGGACGATAAAAAGTTACACTCCACTTTTACCTATCCGTTTCTATATCATCAGGTACATTTGAGTTGCAAGTGGAAAAAAACCAACTGAAATTAGATTGAGATGATTTAATTAGGGGATTTATTAGATGGATGGGGTGGGTCACAGAATGAAAGGAGGAGCTATAGGGCTCAGGGTAGCTCTGAGAACCTCAGGTACTGGAACTGAAACCTGACATCACCAGAACTCTCTGTCTCTCATCTCTGCAGGCAATTTTTTTCCATATAGTAGAGAAAGTGGCTGCTGGCAGGTGCAGACTTAATCTGTTCAGCTTTGAGAAAAAGATCTGAGAAGTAAGCTCCTGTTATAAAAGTCCTGGGAGAGGACTTTAACGTCCTGGCTTGGTTTGTGCAAACCCATGACCCAGTCACTGTGCCCTGGGGATGGAGGTGTACTGAGCTTCCAGACTAGGCTTGCCTGCCTGTATCGGGCACTGCTTGAGCCCCAGTACAACTCCTCTTTTTCTCACCTCTAGCTCTAGTCATTGCTGCAGCACTCAGACCCAGGATATTTCCAGAGTCCTGTAGACAGAATCTCAACTGAACCAACAGATAAATGCTCTCCGCTTTTATCTACAGGCATATAACTATCGAGCATCAGTCCCCGTAGCGGTGGTAGCCACCGTGATAATGCATCCTTGTGTTGGTTTTCCCTTTTTACCGTATTATTCCTTCGGTCCCTCATTCCTGCTTCCTGGGATCACTTTCTAAATAAACTACCCACATGTCAGCCATTACCTCCAATTATGCTTTTGGGGGGACCCAGGTTAAGGTAAAACTCTATTCTTTTTTGCCGGGGCATCCTCCCCAAAACTATGTGGATTGAGTAGTTGGGATCTGTTGTTACCAGAAGAAGGAGAAAGAAATGAAATGTAGATAAAAGAAGGCAGTGCAGAACCTCCAAAGCAAGGAAGAAGAGAGAAAGCACTTTTGATTGTAAATTGTTTTCCAGCTCAATTGGTATCCACTATTTCTTCCTACTAACGTTGGCAAATATTTGCTGAAAATACTTTAATTAAAACCCTATCAACTCCTTTCCTTTTTCCTGTGGAAGACAGAACTAGCATTTCAATAAAGTCCATTTACTCTTCTTTCTGTGCGCCAGCATCACGTGTAGTTAAATGTGGTCTTGTGATTAGTTTCTAGCCAATGGAATGTGAGCCGAAGTGGTAATTAACAAGTTCAGTCCTGGCTCATTTCTCCCATTTGTGCTCTTCCTTGCTCTTTCTTCCATCTGACTCACTGATATGACAACCTCAGATCAACTTTGGGAACCACAATTTAAAGATGGTAAAGTAACAGTCAACCTGGGACCCTGAAAAGTGACTGTAGGAAGTAAAGCTGCAATGCTCACTAACCTGGAACCATCTTGGAGTGTGATATGACAGAGAAAGAAAGTTCTATTCTGCTGAGCCACTGCATGACAAGGTCTATTTGTTCACTGCAACTCAGCCCAACCTAACTAATTTACCTCCTTCCCCTTTCTTCTCTCTTTTTCTCCTTTCCTTCCTTCCTTCCCATTTTTCCCTTCCTTCCCTCCCTCCCTTCCTTCCATCCTTCCTTCCATCTCTCCTTCCTTCCTTCCTTTCTTCCTTTTTTTCTTCCTTCCTTCCGTCCATAGCACCTGCATTTCAAGATCCTTGTAACTGATAGTCTTATAGCCCTCAATGACCACACTTTCTATTCTTCCACACTGGATATTTGAATATTATAATATAGAGTTATGTGTCATCTTGTGCCCTTTGGATTATACCTAATTAAGTAATTGAGTGTTATAGTAAATGAACACATTAAATAACACTTTCAATTAGTTAATGCCTGCCACTCTGGAGTTCCTGGAAAATCACTCAAAATGTCATCCTAGTTGAAAAAAGGCAGCATTCCTAAAAGGAAGATAGCCAGGTCATCTACAAATTGAAGGCATCTGAAAACTATTTCTTAGAGACACATATTTGTTTACTTAGTGTCACTCAGTTAAGCAGAGGTAAAATAAGGCTAGCAATCCTGGAAAGCTAGAGAAACTCACACGTGCACAGGAAGACATGAACAGAAATATTCGTTGCAGCATGGTTTGCAGTAACAAAATATTGGAAACAAACAAAATGTCCATCAACGGGAGGATAAACAAACTCTGATTCACACAATGGAATACTATTCAGAAATAAAAAATGAATGAGCAAACCATGGTTATACATATCCACTTGAATATCTCTCAGAAATATAACTTTGAGGGGGAAAAAATAAACAAGTTGCAGAAGGATATACAATACTATTTTTTATAAAGTTTAAAAAGCACACTAAAATCATATACTACTTGTAAGTATATATGGACATGGTAAAAATATAAAACATGCAGAGGAATGGAAAACAATTTCAGAAAAAGCCGTTTCTGATTAAGGAGGTAGAGGATAGGCTTGGGAAGGGTGCTTTAAATACATCTGAAATATTTTATTTCTTAAAAAATATGAGAAGCAAATATGACAAACATTGAAGTTTGACAAAAGCTGGGTGGTAAGTAAAGCATGTCCATGATATTGATCTCTGTACTTTTCTGTGCTTACTATATTTCAAAATTTGTTAAATGTGGAAAAAAAGAATGGGCATGTGTATCCTACAACCCCAGCAGGGGGAGAAGCCAGATTGAGGTGGGTGTG